TATGTGTTCACACAGATGTTAGCAGCAGCAGCCCAGTAGTGGAAAAGAATAGAGCATGCTTAGCCAGAGAGCCACTGGGGCAGCGTGGCCTGTACAGTGTCTCAGAAGTGGGGTACCTGTGAGCTTGCAGAAGAATGGCAGTGGTCAGGAGAGCTGGGGAAGACAGCGTCCTAGGGATTCCCAGGACTAGTGAGCTAACAGGATGTCATCAGGATGCTGGGGGAATAGGAACATATTGGTTAATTAGTATTGAAATGTATTAAACAAACAGAAATAAGGTAATGAAATAATTTTTTTGGAGCTGGTAAATGAGATAATAAATTGTTCAGTTTCCATCATTTAAAAACATCAGCCCTTTTTTATTTCTAAACACATTCCAGAATAAACTACATTTTGTAGAAGTAAAATACTATTTTATTTCTAATCACATTTTACAATATAAAATGCAGTTTTAAAAAATATGCACTGTGAAGAAAACGCAGTGTTACCATTCTTTGTCCACATTGGTATGTCTTTTTCTTCTTTAGATTCCAGCGTAGTTAGCACTGTTGTGCTTCGGGACCTACTGGCATACGTGTCTTCAAAACATTCCTATCTCAAAGGCCTTCCTCAGAGGTGGCCTCAGAGAGTGAGCAAGATAGAGTTTGTAGAACTGGAGCAGCTACAGACTGATATGCTAGTCCATGCTGTGCTGAGAGTTGTGGAAGTCCTTGTACTGACAGGTAAACACCTGGAGTGCTTCTTTGATTTCAGATCATAAAAAATTAAGACATAAGACCATCTTAACATATCATTTAATTATCATTACCTATTTATTATGAGTTATTAAGGATGGAGTCACCTGTGATAGAGTAATATCAACTAAGATTCCTCTTTCCTTTTCCTAGAGGCATTGTACAATTACAGAGGACAGAAGCAAAGGAAAGTTGTGGTAACAGTGGAACAGGCACAAGGCCAACATTATGTGCTTGTGTTATGGGGTCCTGGAGCAACCTGGTGCGCTCAGCTTCAAAGGAAAAAAGGTAAATACACCCAAAAAAATCATTTAGCCTGTTTATATTTTGATAAATGATTAATGTTGATGAGCTGAAGATGAAGAGAATCTGAAGGGAGATAACACTTAAAATAGAAGTGATCAAGATGGGATATGCTGTACATTCCTGTTATGTACCCCTTGCAGCAATTTAGTTATCGAAAAGTCCTCTGTAATTAACGGTGTCAAAATAAAGGCTTATTTTTATTCCCAGGTGTATTACTTAATCTTTTTTAGTTAAGATCTTACCTCCTTCAAATAATATTCTTTAAGAATTTAATTCTGGAGAAGCTTCTTCAACATTTTTTTAGCCAGTACTATGATAAATAAAGTTCTTCCTGGTTAGAAAGCAGGTGTTAGGGGAGTTACATTAATGGTTTCAAGTTACAGTTACTTTTTGATAAATTACTGTGTTCCACTTTTTGAATTTTATTTTATTTTATTTTGGAGACAGGCTCTTGCTATGTAGTTGAGGCTGGACTTGAATTCACTATGAAGAGCCCATATGCCACATTTTTGTTCCAGTTGTTTTAAAAGTGTTAGACATCGCGTGATGCCCATTTAAAATGACAAGTTACATTTGTTTCAAGACATAATAATAATGTACTTTGAACTAAAAGAGATTGTTTCAGTAAAATAGTATTTAATACTTCTTTTTGCTTTTCTGAGAACCTTTTGTTGTAACAGGGATCCCTTAATTAGTGGTTTCTGAGTTACTTTACCCAATAAAATTAATTTAGAGATTAAGTGTATGACCTGTTATTTTCTACCTGAAGAGTTAATGTCTCTTTCTAAGTGTCTCCCTCCTGAATAGCTCCTCTGCAGGTAGGAGCCAGTACATCATCTCTCTTAATCATTAATAGCCTACCACTAGGATCTGAGATAAGTCAGACTTCTAACTTTTATGTTAGGATCAAACAGTAGGAGATGTTTATTCAGTTGAGAAATTTGACAAACACATACTGATGATAGACGTGTAGTCCTTGACCCTCCATCACAGCTGGGGCACGAGCCGACCACATGCTGAGCAAGGATGTAGGTCAGAGGTAGAGCGGAGCTGCGGCATACAGAGTGTTCCATGCATAGTGTGACTATTCTTTAAGTTAATAGTTATTTGATATATAGTTGTCTCTAGACAGTTCTGTGATTTTTAAGGTTAATATTGAAAACTTAGGCATTTAGGAATTAAGATGTAGCTATTCTTTGTTCACTTGTTAATTCAGCTTACATTTATTTATACCATCATTTTAAAGTTTTAATATTCACTTCAATACCTCAAGGCAGTTATTTTTAATAGAAAATACCAATTTTTAAGGATCACTTAAGTCCATAATTCTACTTTCAGAAATTATTAGCATTGTACTCATTCATCTATGTGTCTTGGAGCTGTCTCTGTATTAACTTCTCTATTGGACACTGGCTTTATTTGTCCCCAATGATAACAAATTCACCTTTTTAAATTAATTAATTAATTAATTAATTATTTCTGTACTTAGGGCAGGGTCTACAGGGTGTTCAGGGTTTCATGACATAGATCAGACTTGTAGTGATTCTTCTGTTTTCAGCCTCCCAAGTGCTGGGATTACAGGCGTGAACCACCACGCCCAGGCTCAATCGCCCTCTCAGCGCGCCCTGGGGGCAGGGCCGGCATGGGGCCGGCATGGCATGCTGGGGTTCGAAAATCGGCTGCTGTGCTTTGCCTGATCAGGTGCTTTAGTCCACTGAGCTATCAGGCTGGCCCTCAACAAATTCATCTTTAGAGGACATAATTAGGAATAATCACCAAGCAGTCATTATTAAATACTGAATATAATGGAGTTGATGTTTTGTGGAAGAATTGTAAGAAATTCCAAATTTATGGTTTTTTTTTGAAATATACATTTCTACTAGAAATTTGGCATGCTTCGTATGTAGCAAGTATTAGTCACAGTTTAGGCCCTAATGAAGGTAAACTAAAGACATCAATTGCACTTAAGAGTAATTGGCTAGACATGAAGTAACCCATTCAGAAGTACATGTTAGGCCCTAGAATAAGTGCCTGCCTGGAGAGTGTGCAAGGTCTTGAGTTCAATTCCCAGTACTGCTACAGAGAGAGAGAGAGAGAGAGAGAGAGAGAGAGAGAGAGAGAGAGAGAGAAACAAACTACATGTTATTCTAATGCAATATTCTTCAAGTTATTTAACAGAAATCTGATATTTCAAATAGAAAGCAAATCACAGTAAAGTTCTCTCATAGTGTAGGTAAGCCTAGAATGATGCAAACAACTGCAATAGTGATGGCTATACAAAGGTATAGTTATGTCTGCAAGGTGGTTTGAAATATATCCCCAATTAGTGGCTCACGTGTATAAATGTACCACTGTTTATGTCATACCGCTCTCCCTCAGATCACAGACCTAACCAGCACACATGCCTTTCTGTTATTGGTTGTGCCAATTCTTCACCTCAGGACACAGACTATAGCTGTTGTTTCTGTCTAGAGTGCTTTTGCTCTGAATATCTCACTTACAGACCCCTTCATGTCCAGCTCGCAGCCTCCTTGAGGCTTTCTGTGTGTGTGTCAGCTCAGTCTGTGTGTATTCTTCTGGCTCATTTTCTTTTGTGGATTGATTTTCTTGTTACGATGGGCTGTAAATTCTATGCATGTAAGTGCCTTGCCTGGCTATTTAGCAAACATTCCATCACATAGCTATTTTCCTTACGAATGAACGAAAATTGAAGTAAAGATCAGCCAGCCAGCCTGATTGAATTTCCCACTGTTATTTTATTTTATTTTTTTGTACTGGGGATTGAATTCAGGACTTTGTACTTGCCAGACAGGCGCTTAAGCTACTGAGCTATCTCCTTGGCCCTCCCACTGTTATTCTTTTTTTTTTTTTTTTTTCCGAAACTGGGGATTGAACTCAGGCCCTTGCGTTTGCCAGGGAAGCACTTATTCTACTGAGCCATCTCCCTGGCCCC